GCTCACCAGGAGCTATGGGAAGGGAAAGTGCTCAGCTTGCTGACAGGAGTAGGAAACTGTATATTCCTGTACCCACCTGGTCCTGTACCCACCTGCTCCTGTACCCACCTGGTCTTGTACCCACCTGGTCCTGTACCCACCTGCTCCTGTACCCACCTGCTCCTGTACCCACCTGCTCCTGTACCCACCTGGCCCTGTACCCACCTGGTCTTGTACCCACCTGCTCCTGTACCCACCTGCTCCTGTACCCACCTGCTCCTGTACCCACCTGGTCTTGTACCCACCTGGTCCTGTACCCACCTGCTCCTGTACCCACCTGCTCCTGTACCCACCTGCTCCTGTACCCACCTGGCCCTGTACCCACCTGGTCTTGTACCCACCTGCTCCTGTACCCACCTGCTCCTGTACCCACCTGCTCCTGTACCCACCTGCTCCTGTACCCACCTGCCCCTGTACCCACCTGGTCCTGTACCCACCTGATCCTGTACCCACCTGGTCCTGTACCCACCTGCCCCTGTACCCACCTGCTCCTGTACCCACCTGCTCCTGTACCCACCTGCCCCTGTACCCACCTGCTCCTGTACCCACCTGGTCCTGTACCCACCTGCCCCTGTACCCACTTGCTCCTGTACCCACCTGCTCCTGTACCCACCTGCCCCTGTACCCACCTGCTCCTGTACCCACCTGCCCCTGTACCCACCTGCTCCTGTACCCACCTGCCCCTGTACCCACCTGCTCCTGTACCCACCTGAGCCACAAAAAACGCGAACGCCTAACCCGTTTATCAAGCCATAATTAAATTTTTGTTTAGTAGGGCAAACTAATTTACAAAAGCAGCCCCGCATTTTATCCTGATTAAAAAATGAAATTATGTGCTGTAACACTCCCTAAACTAGCCTTAACAATGTCTCTCTCTCAGTGTGAGAGTGAGAGAGAGAGAGAGAGAGAGAGAGAGAGAGAGAGAGAGAGAGAGAGAGAGAGAGAGAGAGAGAGAGAGAGAGAGAGAGAGAGAGAGAGAGAGAGATTCCCTCCCCTCTACACAACACTCCATCACGATAGAGTGATGATATCACGAGGCTTCCATCAGTAAACATCATTGCCAACTATTTTTGTCAATGTTCCCCTCCCCCCCCCTCGCTTTAATGTGCTTTTTTATTTTTATATTATAAATACCCATTTTTGACATAGTAGAAGTTGCAGGGATTTTGAATAAAAGTGTATGTTTCTTAAAAGTAGGCACTGGGGGTCAATCCAGACCAGCCTATGAGAGACCTATACCTCCCCATGTGTCATCGTGAAACATTGGGTGAGGCTAGCCCCAAACATCTGACCTTCAGGCGTGGACAAACATTATATATATATATATATATATATATATATATATATATATATATATATATATATATATATATATATATATATATACACATATATATATAATATACTTTTTATATATATAAAATTATATATATATATACACACATATATATATATATATATATATATATATATATAGCGGCTGAATATATATATATATATATATATATATATATATATATATATATATATATATATATATATATCCTGGGAAACGAACCCAGTACACATGGGTTTTGAGTTAATTGCGCTACCTACTTTTTTGTTTTATTGGTAAACCATTGGGAAGACTCAAGCGCTCAGATCCACTCCATCAGACACACACACACACACAAAACACACACACACACACCGATACACACATCCACACACACACACACACACATACACACACACACACACACACACACACACACACACACACACACCACTGCCTTCAGCGACCACCTCTCTCTGAAGACCACCACCAAGCCCACCTCCACTCCCGCCAAGTAAATTATGGCGAGTGAAGGAATGCCTCGGGTCAACACCGAGGTCACGGGATTTCTTTAGGTTAACGTTAAGAGGGATTTTCCCTCTTTGTTCGTAAAGAGGGGATTGATTACCATATCCAATTGCCTTTGAGCAGCCCGAGGGCAGCAATAATCCGGTAACAGCAATACAATCTCTTAGACTCGAGGCAGAGTGAAATTCACGGCAGTTCCTCCGTCTATCATTCTATTATGCAGGAAGAGCATATATTGATCAATTTACGAATTTAGATGCGTTTCGATATTGTTTATTAGCAATAAAAACACCGATTGCAAATTGTTGAAGCTCATTAATTGTTTAACACAAAGTAAGCCGCCATGAGCGAGTAAGATGTACAGGTTTCGTCAATGACCCCTCGATATCTTAAGAAGGTCCAAAGGGGGTGAGTTTACAGGGGTAAGCACCCACTCCTTTGTTTTCCTCCCCAACTGTGTGTGTGTGTGTGTGTGTGTGTGTGTGTGTGTGTGTGTGTGTGTGTGTGTGTGTGTGTGACCCCAAAGTTAATTAGCGCCCAACGAGGGAGGCCAACAAGGCAAGGATCGTTAGGTAGTTTATCGGTAGTTAAAATGGTGGTTTGACCTTCGAAGTCAATTTTCTCCTTAATCTTGCCCTTTTTCCATCCATTTTCTTCTCTTCGTCTCATCTGGGGACGCAAGTTCGATCCTGCTGTATGTAATCAATAATTTATCTCGGATACACGTTCTCGTGGTCTCATGGTGCTGTATTTTGGAATTTATTTAAAACTTACGGAAAAACTGAAGTCAAAAGTTTAGCAAATAAGGGAACGTTAACTTTTACAATTATTCGTGTCTGCGCACACAGGGAACGTCCAAGATGGCGCTCAGACGTCTCAGCGCACACAGGGAACGTCCAAGATGGCGCTCAGACGTCTCTGCGCACACAGGGAACGTCCAAGATGGCGCTCAGACGTCTCTGCGCACACAGGGAACGTCCAAGATGGCGCTCAGACGTCTCTGCGCACACAGGGAACGTTCAAGATGGCGCTCAGACGTCTCTGCGCACACAGGGAACGTTCAAGATGGCGCTGACGTTTCTGCGCACAAAGGGAGCGTTCAAGATGGCGCCGACGTCTCTGCGCAAGACGGTGATGACGTATGACCATATCTTAGCCTTGGTTAAGTTGAGGAGTAATATTTCCTCTCACATCTCTGCAGTATCCCAACCACTTGGGCTGGACGGTAGAGCGACGGTCTCGCTTCATGCAGATCGGCGTTCAATACCCGACCCTCCAAGTGGTTGGACAACCATTCCTTTTTCCCCCCGTCCCATCCCATATCCTAATCCTGATTCCTTCCCAGTGCTATACAGTCGTAATGGCTTGGCGCTTTCCCCCCCTGATAGTTCCCTTCCCTTCCCTCAGCAGTGACAACAGACGATAAACTCTAAAACTGTAAAACACTGCAGGAGAGAAGCAGTGAAAAGTGCACCTAGCACCCAAGCCGCGTCGTTTCTTAGTGAGAATCAAACTGCTTCACAAATTAATTCATTACATAAGAATATAAGAACAAAATAACGGCAGAAGGCCTATTGGCCCATACGAGGCAGCTCCCATCTATAACCACCCAATCCCACTCATAAACATGTCCAACCTGCGCTTGAAACAATCGAGGGACCCCACCTCCACCACGTTACGCGGTAATTGGTTCCACAAATCAACAACCCTCTTACCGAACCAGTATTTACCCAAGTCTTTCCTAAATCTAAACTTATCCAATTTATACCCATTGTTTCGTGTAATTCCGCTATGAAAGAAGTACTTTTTGTTGTCACTTCTGTGAGACGACTTGTCAAATATTGTAGACTTTTGCCGAGACATTTAGACAATTTCAAGAGTGGATCGGGTAGAAAACGTTCTACTGTATTAGTCATATTTAAGGTATCCGTCAGGGGCTAGATTCACGAAGAACTTACGCAAGCACTTACGAACCTGTACATCTTTTCTCAATCTTTGGCGGCTTTGTTTACAATTATTAAACAGTTAATGAGCTCCGAAGCACCAGGAGGCTGTTTATAACAATAACAGTTGATTTTACAAGCATGAAAACTTGCCACTGTTTAATAAATGTAACCAAAGCCGCCAAAGATTGAGGAAAGATGTACACGTTCGTAAGTACCTGCGTAACTGCTTCGTGAATCTGGCTTAATGCCTAATTTGACCTGTTTCTTCTAGAGATTCTGTTGTTGGGATATTTTCTAGGTTAAGAGATTTATATATATATATATATATATATATATATATATATATATATATATATATATATATATATAAATAAAGAACAAAAAAAACAGCGATCAACGTTGATGCACTATTTCTCAAAGTTCCCCATTGAAGCCCATTTTCTCTCTCTCCCAGCCACGTCCATTTTCTATGATGCGACCCATTCAGAAAATGAAGCAACAAGGCCATCTGTACTTCAATCGTTAGTTCTTATTTATTTATATATACAAGAGGTCTTGCATTCTTGTAAACCTCGGGGTAGTATCAGTGGGTGCAAGTGTTCTAGTAAACTCTTCAGTTGTTGTGCATTCTCTTTTTATCATACATCATGGTTGTAATCTCTCTCATGTGTACGCGCTACCTTGTAACACTGCTCAAGCGAGAGACAAGAGTGGCGTGACCAAGAATATCAATTGTTTACACTCACAGTAACGAGAAATGCACTGGACCTGCCCTCGGGGTGACCTCGGGGTAGCAGAAGGTCACCGTCAAGGTGATTTCCTCCTTCATTCCCGCCTTGGAAGCATTTCCCAGTGGAAATGCTTCCCAGTGGGCCAACCTACCGTCGTTTATGTAGCATTAGATTCAACGTTGATAACGAAGCTTTAACGTTATCCTCAGTGGACACCATATCCAAAAGCAACGTCGAACCAACGCCACTCTTGGATATCATGCCCACTGGGGGTTACCATTCCTCCAACGTTGATTAAACGTTCCTCGAACATATTTTTTTTTCCAGCAGGGAATTTGGCTAGTCAGAACATCACTTTGACCTGTAACGTACCTCGCTAGATGTGGACTCGAGTGTCGCAGCCTCTTCTATAGTCCCGGACTTGATGCAAGTACGACCTACCTGTTCCTTCTCTTCCTGTGTTTTGGGTTGGAGTGTGAGGCCGAGATGGAGCACGCCCATGTAGTTGGACTTGCCAGGCTCGGAGAGCGCCAAGACCACTTCCTGTGGCCTGCCAGAGGAAAAAAAATGAAGAAAAGACTAGATTCAGGAAGACTAGACTAGATTCGATTCACAATATCGGCGGTAAGGATGCATTCCTTACCTTACCTGCATCCCTCAGTGCATTCTCACCATGCCCACTGCATCGTGAGAACGCACTGAGACTAATGAAGCAAGTAAAGGTACTCAGGCACAGTGGTCTACATCTTTGACTCGCAATCAAGGGATCTGGGCTTAATTCCCAGGCAGGACAGAAACTGTTACTGAAGATAGGACCAGGAGTGAAAAGAGCATTACAGTGGTACAAATGAAGAAGGCATTATCAGGTCAGAAAATGGAGGCTTTGATGAAATATAGAAACAAGGAATAACTACCGGGGCTTCTATACCATATATACCGCGAGATATATGTATATATATCTCTTTCATGTGTACTCTCTATATTATATAATATATATATAACACTAGCCAACATCTGCATACACTGCCCAACGCCAGAAGCGTGTTATTGGATTTGCAAGAATGTAATTCCATACCAGAGCTGTTAGCCCCGTTATTGCTTTCTTACAACTGTTAAGAATTATATACAACCTACGTGTGACCCAATTTTTAGTGTGCAGCGCCAGCATGGACCCCACATCCCCCAAAAAAACACATAAAGCTAGAAAAGTTCCGAAGATATACGACAAGGCTTCTTTCAGAGCAGAGTGGCCTGAGCTACGAGGAGGGAATATACAACCCTGAAGATTCATTCAGGGAAGCTTCGATCTCAGTATACGGGCGAGCGAACCTTTGGTCGACCCAGACATCTCAAACTTGATTGAAATTCAAGCCAACCCTCAAGAGGCGGATGGAAAATTCCACCGCAAGAAGATTCTGCTACAATGACCAGCTAAGAAGAAGAAAAAAGGCTTAGATAAGAAGCTTAAGTTTGCCTACGAAAGAGAGTGCCAGGATTGGGGGGATGGTGCGAGGTATAATAAAGAAGCGCTCAAGGGGTAGATTGGACGTCTGGCGAAGGTTTGCCACATCATCGAGGTCGCTAGTCCACTGAAGGCTTTAACTGGATGCGCAAATATGGTGCAGGTTCACCCCGAGGGTGTGGGGGAGAGAGAGAGAGAGAGAGAGAGAGAGAGAGAGAGAGAGAGAGAGAGAGAGAGAGAGAGAGAGAGAGAGAGAGAGAGAGAGAGAGAGAGAGAGAGCGTGTTCTGGAGGAGGAAAGAGGAAAGGTAATGGAAGGCAGTAAGATTGAGGGAAGGGATTCGGGAGGAAGGGGAGTGTGACATTCTGGGAAGGGGAGATGAAAGGACCTTACATTCTCGTCCAGTACGAAAAAAATATTGTATCAGTAATATCTGCCATATTACCGGATGTTAGAAGACAACAATCTTATACTCAGTCTTAAACAACAGTCGGGACCAAAGAGCCAAAGCTCAACCCCCGCAAGCACAATTAGGCGAGTACTACGTCACCACACTAACAACCCCGTCAATCACTACACCAACCCCCACTTCAATCACCACACGAGAACTAGCCCCCCCCCATCAAGCACGCACCACACACCCAAACATCAGCCACCACCATCACCAACCAGTACAACCACCCCCTTCTCCCACACTACAATCTTCCCCCACCACCACCTTCCCGCCTACTCCCCAAGTCAGCTCATCATCATCATTACCGGTCAGAGGACTTACTTGTCCAGCTCGAGCGTGGAGAGGTCGATGGAGGCGAGGCCCATGAAGTCGTCCTGGAGGCCCCAGTCGTAGTCAAACACCTGTGAAAGCAAGAGGTAACACTAATTAACATATAAGACAGGAGAGGAGTTGGAGGTTATCATATATAATGTACGCAGGGGACGCTATAGCTTACCCTCATCCACTCTCACACACTCGCCTCGGAGAGGCTACGGGATCCAGTAAGTTCAGTAGAACTTCGGTTTCAACCCTTTTAACCGTGTCATAGCTCAGTCGATTAAGGCAGTGTCTGGGATGGTCCCGGACGCAGGTTCGAATCCTCGTCACGGCCCGTGTGGATTTGCTCATCCACTCTCATTGCCATTTTCCCTTCTCTCTCTCTCTCTCTCTCTCTCTCTCTCTCTCTCTCTCTACTCACCTTAACCATGACGGGCTCAAAAGGGTCCTCGATAGCCACGGTGAATGACTCGTCCCAGGTGGGGTTCAGGTCCTTGTACACCGTCTTGGACTTGTAAACAAGCTTCCCTTGTACCTTGAACTTGACGTAGGGGTCGCTGGTGCCTGTGGTCCGTCGCCCCCCCACGTAGGTGGGTGGGTGAGGGGAAAGAGGGAAGGAAGAGGGGATAAACGTGTTAGATACCTGGGTTGATTTGGGTGTGCGTGGGATGGGAAGGGGGAAGGGGTAGGTGGGAGGGGGGGGAGAGAGAGAGAGAGAGAGAGAGAGAGAGAGAGAGAGAGAGAGAGAGAGAGAGAGAGAGAGAGAGAGAGAGAGAGAGAGAGAGAGAGAGAGAGAGAGGCGAGATAATATGCAGTGAGAGATGAGACATCAATAAGATTAAGTGAGAGTGTGAGATAAGTGGCAAAGATAAGAGTGAGAGATGAAAGAGATAAGAGGCACAGATAAGGGATATGAGACAGTGAGGGATAAGAGACAGAGATGAGAGTGAGAAATGAGTGAGAGATGAGAGAGATTAGAGACAGTGAGAGATGAGTGTGAGAGGATGACGAGTCCTTAAGAACCAAGAAGGAGTTAAGACAGTACAGCCTCACAGGAAGTCACCTTAAGGAACCATCACAAATCAAAGGACCTTAAAACCTATTATTTAAACTAAACAATTCTTCTTCCTTCAGCCTAGGTGCGGAAACAATAGACCTTCACGTAACCAAACCTTCACACACACACAGCAATATAGTTCACATGACAAGGATCTACACATACTATCAGAGTATAACAATGTATCAATATATATTTATGTACTGTATATAATATCATTTTCTAACATGCAGCTAATGTTGAAAAAACGTCTATGCAATGCACTAGGGCAACATTCCTTCAAATAAATCTATCAAATCATGCACAGCTACAGCCACAAGGAATACTGCCTTAAAAAAAACAGAATTTCTAATAACTAGAGGCAATTAGTGTTATCTTTTTGCTAATTGTCGCTATGTCGTTAGTGCTAATAACATCTTAGAAGGCCTTATATTGAATGAGGCTATGGGCGGCAATGGTTGTTTTGTCGGTTAATTAATCAGTCATTGCAATATATATGGTTTTCGCGCATTTGGCAATTCTTAGCTTGACGCTTTTTTTAATCACAATTCAGATAACTTGTTTGGCGATCCATAGACAGTTAGCACCGTTTATGACAGGCATTTGACGATATTTAGACATAATGAACCTTCTCAAAACTCTTTAAAACGAAAGTTTAACGTTAGTTAGATCTAACTAACTAACGTTAGTTAGTTAGTAGGAGGTTTTCCCATGGTTGTGTTCGCTGATGGCCAAATCACCTTCACTATAAGAAACGGTTAAGAACAATAAGACGCACATTTAAGGAAACCACAGAAGAACCAATGACCCGACGACGCAGCGCTTAATTATATTCATCCAAATTCATATGTCTAGCCTGCGCTTGAAACAATCAAATGAGCCCACGTATACTAAGGCACGTAGTAATTTGTTCCACAAGTCAACAATCTTGCTTGTAAGCCACTGGCGCCTCTGTAAGGAGCGTTGCGAAACGTTTCCTTAATACCCGCTTGACCTCTTCAGCGCCTTGCCGAGCCTAGCATGAGCCCAGCGCCTTCAGCGCCTAGCATGAGCCCAACGCCTTGCCGAACCTAGCATGAGCCCAACGCCTTGCCGAACCTAGCATGAGCCCAACGCCTTGCCGAGCCTAGCATGAGACCAGCGCCTTGCCGAGCCTAGCATGAGCCCAACGCCTTGCCGAGCCTAGCATGAGCCCAACGCCTTCAGCGCCTAGCATGAGCCCAACGCCTTGCCGAGCCTAGCATGAGCCCAGCGCCTTCAGCACCTGGCACTAACCCTCCAGACACCCGCAGACAACAATAACTTCCATCAGGAGAAGTTTCTACACAAAGCAGACTAGCTCATTCCAGGAAACATTCCAAAATGTTCTTCTTGTAGTCTTGGTGTTGTGTCGAGTCCCTGGCAAGTGATGGCGGAGATGGTGAGAGCAGAAGAGGCAATCGTCAGCAGCTTGATGAAAAGGTTAATCTACCATCTACTTGCATCTGCATAAGCCACAGCTGCATCTACCACTACCTGAGCTGTAAGTGACGCTGGTAACCACTTGGTGAGTGATGGGCTTTGCTAGGTGATGTGTCTCCCAGAGCCCCAAGTCTCCACAGAGTCGAAGGTATTCATGTTTTCGTAACTGAAGACGACAGACCACAAACTATCTTCGTCCGGGCCTTCGAGTCCTTGCCGAAGACAAGGCTGGTAGCCGAAATTGGGTGATAGTTGGGTTGGTACATCTTCAGTTAGAAGCAAGAAATGGTTCGTAGTCTCGGTTCTCTGTTGAGACTACGGGCTCTGAATGGTTAGAAAAAAAAATAGATGTGAGAAGGTCCATGCTGCACTCGCCAACGGTGCACGCTGATTGGTTAGAGCTCATAGTAGGAATACACACACACAACATATGATTGGTCACTACCTGCACTCGCGGTGTCTCCTGATTGGTAGGATGAGTATTGGGGGAGGAGCTTACCGCAGGCGTCCCGGGCCACCAGGTCTTCCCCGCGCTTGAGGTGAACGTGCAACTGGAAGAAGGAGTGCTGACGGAGTGCTCGCTGGCGCAGCACCACTGGGTCCTGCCCAGGAAGAACGTGAGAGTCAGGTCCAGGAGGCGGAGGGTACACCAACACAGGTCAAGTTAGTGAGGGCAGAGCGTGTCAAGGTAAGCTGTACACGCTCACAGCTACCTAATGGGTTAATTTAGGCAAGGGGGTTGCAATGTCAGAATAGGTACTTACACATGCCCCTCAAGTACCATAGGCCTAGATAATTTGTACAAGGGGCTCAGATGATACACATGTACAATATAATTTACAGAAGATATTTGATACTGGAGGCAAGGAGAGTAAAATATATATATACCAGGCACTGAGGAAGTACAGATCTACAAGAGCAGCTTACATATGAAAGATACCAGAGCGAGGTATTTCTAAAAGCTTTGCACTGATGTTAACCAAACCTGATTCTTCCCCATCATGCAAGGAAGCTCCATGCCCTCGTCACAGTTGCTTAACCTTACAGCTATTACTAAAATGTGTAGATTTACTGCAAATCTCAGAAAGGGTGTAAAGGTGGAAAAAGAACAAGATAGAGGGAGAGAAAGTATTTCTCCCTCTTTCCCTTCACTTCCCTCTGAAGGACTGGCACTCCCTCCCTCCCTCCCTACACTCCCTTCTGAAGGACTGGCACTCCCTCCCTCCCTTCACTCCCCTCTGAAGGACTGGCTCACCACCCCTCACTCAACTCTCAGTAATTCAGGTGCTCAATGTCATTATTACAAGAGATCACCTCCTAACATGGAAGGGAGAGAGAGGAGAAATCTCTCACTTCAACTCTTAAACACAGCCAGGAAATATAACACTAAATGTTTAATGTGCACAGAGAGAGAGAGAGAGAGAGAGAGAGAGAGAGAGAGAGAGAGAGAGAGAGAGAGAGAGAGAGAGAGAGAGAGAGAGAGAGAGAGAGAGAGAGAGAGAATCATAATAACAAAGAAGCTCCTACAAATATTCAAGAATATCCTTGAAAGAAGCAGTAAGATTTTAACATGTGGGTTAAAATACCCTGTAGTAGTATCTGAGTGCCCAGAGGTACCTAGACCTAACAGGAGCATTATCCCCAGTACACACACACACAACGTTTGCAAGAATATGGCACCGTTGCAGTACAGGGCCAAGGTGCAGAGGCAGCGTTCAGTTCGAGTGTTTAGCTTGATCAGGTCCTCCAGGAGGTGCCTGGAGGCACAGTGCCAACAGTGCACCTTGCACCCATACCAACGATAGTCCCAAGTGCTAGTTTAAAAACCTCCCTTAATGGGAAATTGGTTAACTTTACTAGTTACTAAAAAAAATATATATATATGAAAACAGCAACTATTTAGCATGATAAAATAAATATTCTAATTAGCTAGTTGTCTTCATGATATTAAAATGTCTAGACAAAATGTATGTACAGCATAAAACATGATGTATTTGATAATATATCTAAATATTATTAAACAAAATAGCTAAAAAAATTGACAAAAGTGAATAAGCAATAAAAACACGGATCAAGCATGTTGCATCATGGTCACATATGTTGCCTCTTGGTCACATATGTTGCCCCATGGTCACATATGTTGCCACATGGTCACATATGTTGCCTCATGGTCACACATGTTGCCCCATGGTCATACATATATTGCCACATAGTCACGCAAGAATACAAGAAGCACGTACACATAATATTAATTAACACTCATGAATTCAGAAGCATGCTGTAGGTACAGGCGGTTTGGGAAGTTGAATGGGGGTGGTTGTTGGTGGCTGGTTCCTTCTACACTATAATGTTTATGTTAGTTACTGTGTTTACACTCTCGTGATTGTTGGGGAGTAGTGGTGGTGTGGTGGTGATTGTGGTATGAAAGGTGGGGACGGTGGTGTGGTGGTGATTGTGGTATGAAAGGTGGGGACGGTGGTGTGGTGGTGATTGCGATGTGGTGGTTATTGTGGTGTGGTGGTGATTGTGGTGGGGTGGGACCGTGGTGTGGTGGTGATTGTGGTGATGGTGCAGCGATGAGGCTAAAGTACAGGCCATATATGTGATGGGAGAGAGAAATGAGGGCGTGTGAGGTACATATGACAAGGTGAAAAGATGATTTAAGGTGACGAAAAGCGACGGGAGAGGGAGGCGAGTAAGAGCTAAGATAGAGTTATGAGGTAATACTATAGTGTTAACATGAGTGAGGGGTGAGTAAGGGGGTGATATGAGTGAGAAGGTCGACAGAAACACCAGTACTGACCTCTTGTGACCAGACCTCAAATACGGTTGCATTGTCCGACCCCTAGACAATTGAGAGGAGAGAGAGAGACAGAGAAGGGGAGAGAGTGGAACAACATCTAGGGTCAGTATTCCTAGACTTAAGTTACAGTTGAGCAGCTGAAGGAGACGCCAAGAGCATACACTTCGGACCTCAACACATTCCGCCCCTCACAGCCGTACCGTGGGCTCGAACTCTCGTCACTGACCTTCTCAGGCACAGACACTACCTTAGACTGCACCAAGATGAACTAAACTGGCATTGTGGGAACCGGTACTTTCTTAATCTGTGATAGACTCAGTGGTATGTAAATGTCTACATTTCTCCTCTTAGTTGCAAGTTTTGCAGCTTCGTCTGCAATGTAATTTCCTATTATTCCCACATGACTTGGCACCCAGTTGATAAGTACCCGTCGAACCGGATGGTGACTTCCATACTCCATGACCGCCAAGTAGGCCTTCTGCTTGAGATGTTCATAGCCCATCTTGGTCCAGTCGGTAGTGTGTACGCTTAATGAGTTCGGTGACACGGGTTCGATTCTATATAACGGCCTCAATATCTTTTCATAGATCCAACAAATTAATGTGATTTCTAGGTGCATATTCCACACATCAGCTTCGTCTCGACGTCAGGAATAACAGAAAAGGTTTTGATGTTGAGCTCAAGCCTATAACCCGGGCGCGGGCTGTGGTGGCCGTCACACCAGCCTGCTGACCAAGTGTACTTCAGTCCAAAGTAAACTGTACAGCACACACACACACACAGCACCGCTTCTGTGCCAGTAAGTCCACTTCAGGGCTCACCATGGCCCGTGCTACTTGCCCCGCTCCTGTGCCAGGTAAGCTACGGGCTCACCATAGCCCGTGCTACTTGGAACTTGTTCCGAGTAGCTGAATCTATAACAACAACAGTACAGCAGTAGTAAACCAGGAATGGAGTCCACAGCGGGTCTTACAGCCCCAGACAGCGGTGTGGCGGCGACTCTGAACACGTCGGCCGAACAATCACGGTCGTTAAGCCTGTTTGCCATCAAGAAACAAGTGACACAAGAGCTTGTGTATCCGGGTGGGTGAGAGTCCTGGGGCTAGATTCATCAAGGTTAAATGTGTCCACATACGAAACCTGTATATCTTTCGTCGGCCACAACGGCTTACTCTGCTTTTATTAACCACTTTGTGAGCATCGAAACTTCACAACCCGAGGATGTTATTGTTATAAGACAACCTCGTAGCGCTTCGGAGCTCATAAGCTGTTTAATAAATACAAATATACCCGCCATGATTGAGGAAAGATGTACATGTTTCGTCAGTGGAATACAGATTAATTACTTTAACGTGAGTTCAATATTAACCTATGTATTGTAGATAATGCAAACACTGTATTTCTTTTTTTATTTATATAAAACTATTTTTGCAAAAAAGCTTTGTTCACTCGACTGTCAACCAATGAACTGTCAACCAGTCTGTTTGTTGAGATGATCCGTGAACGCGGAAGATACCTGACCAACCAGACTGTAGTGGATATGTGGGCGTGCCGGCCGCTCCAAGCAAGTATTTTAAACTAAGTTTATCACATGACAAGCCTGGCCCCAGACCGACCTTCGCGAGTAGAACTCCCAGAACCCACTCCAGGTACACTCCAGGTATACTCCAGGTATACTCCAGGTATACTCCAGGCACTATCCTAAACAAGAGTACCTCACTTCTCGGTGTAAATACACCAGGAGCTTCATTTAGCTCTGAGCAGAAGCATATACTCGCTGGTGTGTCAGAAGGCATTAATGGCTGTAACCCTTTCCCTCCCCCTCTCTCTTCCGGCAGGTGATAGGTCATGAGAAAAATACCAAACCAAATTCCATGTTATTCCTGTAGGAGTGGCAGCAGGAGGCGTGGGAGATGCCAAGGTCCGGGCAGAAAGGGGCGGCCAACGCGTACGCGGACGTATCGCACAAAGCGAGTTTCAAAAATGCGAAAAATAGTATACACCAGAATGTTAAGTTTAATTTACGGTGGGTTGGGTTAGTACAGGTGAAGTTGGGTTAGGATGGGTAAGGCTAGGATACGTCAGGTGAGGTTAGTCACGACTTGTATAGGTCAGGTTGGATTACGTTAGGAATAGGATAGGTTAGGGTGAGTTTGGATACATCATAATATTGGGTTAGTATAGATCTGATTGGCTTATACTGGCGAGTACTGATCAAGTTAGGTTACATAGGTCAGATTAGGGTAGGTCAGTACAGGATAGATTAGATAAGGTTTTAATCAATAATAATGCAAAATAATTGGGCTACCGTCTTCAGTAGGCATTGACCTGCAGCCTATTAACTTTTACTCTTGGCGCTTCCCTCGCTTAATCTCATGTCTTCCTCACCTCACTAGACATAAACAACTAAAGTACTTAAGCAAATATATGTATCAACAAATATATGTCGCTGTCTAATTATATTTAGCCGGCTAAAAGCTTCAGTATCTGAAGCCTAATTTTCGGTAATTGAGGCTTCAGCTACTGTTTATAAAATTATCAAAAGAATAAATATCTAACAGCTCAGATATTTTGATCATTAACTGAACAAATCAGTAAATGAATACAAACGCCTCACCCAAAACAGGGCTAAGCTTTATTTAGTAAGTTAATCGACGGTCTTACGGTCACGAAAAAGCTTTGATTTCTAACTTTTTAAATTTAAAATTAAGTTAACCTGCAAAAACTTTGACTTGGTCAAACTTTAGACCCCAATAAGGGCCTGCAGAAAAATTCGAATAAATTAATCAATTAAACAAATGTGTTTAATCATATCTGACAAAATATTATTTAAATTAAAACAACTCTATCTCTCCAATACATAATAAAACTTCAATAGGTTTAACTAATGTAATTTGTTATTTAAGTTGCTTAAATAATTTTGTTTACAAGCTTAAATATTTTATAAACAGTAAAAAAATTTAGCATAAAAATTTGTTATATAAAACGGGAAAAAATATCATAGCTTCAACCCTGCAAGAGGATATAAGTATGATATATTCAGAACATATTTATTCAGTGTGTATTTGATGTAGCAAGAGTTAATTGGTGTGTGTGTGTGTGTGTGTGTGTGTGTGTGTGTGTGTGTGTGTGTGTGTGTGTGTGTGTGTGTGTGTGTGTGTGTGTGTGTGTGTGTGTACTTACCTATTTGTGCTTGCGAGGGTTGGCTCTGGCTCTTTGGTCCCGCCTCTCAACCATTAACCAAGTGGTGTACAGGTTGTTCGACCCAGTTGGGTTGTACCGTATCTACATTTGCAACTGTGTATGGTGTCTGCCCAAACCACATCACTTATAATCCATTTATGTGTACTGACGTGTGTGTGGATGTGTAAACAAGAGCTGTAAATGGCAAGTGAATCAACTGGAAAATTTAGCCATTAACTATACACATACATTGTAAATGAAAAACAAAATCACGTAAGAAGCAACATTATATATTATATATATATATATATATATATATATATATATATATATATATATATATATATATATATATATATATTAGCTTGAGTAGGTAAATATAAAAATATTGAAATGCTATGATATAAATTCTTAATTACTACTGCTGCTAAAACATAATAACAACATTAAAAATGGACAACACATCAAGAAGAAGAAAAAAGGCCAAACTTGGCCAGACTCACCACCCGTCACAGGGGGCCAGACTCGGCACCCGTCACAGAGGGCCAGACTCACCACCCGTCACAGGGGGCCAGACTCACCACCCGTCACAGGGGCCAGACTCACCACCCGTCACAGGGGGCCAGACTCACCACCCGTCACAGGGGCCAGACTCACCACCCGTCACAGGGGGCCAGACTCGGCACCCGTCACAGGGGGCCAGACTCACCACCCGTCACAGGGGGCCAGACTCACCACCCGTCACAGGGGCCAGACTCACCACCCGTCACAGGGGGCCAGACTCACCACCCGTCACAGGGGGCCAGACTCGGCACCCGTCACAGGGGGCCAGACTCACCACCCGTCACAGAGGGCCAGACTCACCACCCGTCACAGGGGCCAGACTCACCACCCGTCACAGGGGGCCAGACTCACCACCCGTCACAGGGGCCAGACTCACCACCCGTCACAGAGGGCCAGACTCACCACCCGTCACAGAGGGCCAGACTCACCACCCGTCACAGGGGGCCAGACTCACCACCCGTCACAGAGGGCCAGACTCACCACCCGTCACAGGGGCCAGACTCACCACCCGTCACAGGGGGCCAGACTCACCACCCGTCACAGAGGGCCAGACTCGGCACCCGTCACAGGGGGCCAGACTCACCACCCGTCACAAGGGCCAGACTCACCACCCGTCACAGAGGGCCAGACTCGGCACCCGTCACAGGGGGCCAGACTCACCACCCGTCACAAGGGCCAGACTCACCACCCGTCACAGAGGGCCAGACTCGGCACCCGTCACAGGGGGCCAGACTCACCACCCGTCACAGGGGGCCAGACTCACCACCCGTCACAGAGGGCCAGACTCGGCACCCGTCACAGGGGGCCAGACTCACCACCCGTCACAAGGGCCAGACTCACCACCCGTCACAGAGGGCCAGACTCGGCACCCGTCACAGGGGGCCAGACTCACCACCCGTCACAAGGGCCAGACTCACCACCCGTCACAGAGGGCCAGACTCACCACCCGTCACAAATGCCAGACTCACCACCCGTCACAAGGGCCAGACTCACCACCCGTCACAGGGGCCAGACTCACCACCCGTCACAGGGGGCCAGACTCACCACCCGTCACAGGGGGCCAGACTCGGCACCCGTCACAGGGGCCAGACTCACCACCCGTCACAAGGGCCAGACTCACCACCCGTCACAAGGGCCAGACTCACCACCCGTCACAAGGGCCAGACTCACCACCCGTCACAAGGGCCAGACTCACCACCCGTCACAGGGGCCAGACTCACCACCCGTCACAGGGGCCAGACTCACCACCCGTCACAAGGGCCAGACTCACCATCCGTCACAGGGGCCAGACTCACCACCCGTCACAGGGGCCAGACTCACCACCCGTCACAGGGGGCCAGACTCACCACCCGTCACAGGGGGCCAGACTCGGCACCCGTCACAGGGGGCCAGACTCACCACCCGTCACAGGGGGCCAGACTCACCACCCGTCACAGGGGGCCAGACTCACCACCCGTCACAGGGGCCAGACTCACCACCCGTCACAGGGGGCCAGACTCACCACCCGTCACAGAGGGCCAGACTCACCACCCGTCACAGGGGGCCAGAGTCACCACCCGTCACAGGGGCCAGACTCACCACCCGTCACAGGGGGCCAGACTCACCACCCGTCACAGAGGGCCAGACTCACCACCCGTCACAGGGGCCAGACTCACCACCCGTCACAGGGGCCAGACTCACCACCCGTCACAAGGGCCAGACTCACCACCCGTCACAGGGGGCCAGACTCACCACCCGTCACAGGGGGCCAGACTCACCACCCGTCACAGGGGGCCAGACTCACCACCCGTCACAGGGGCCAGACTCACCACCCGTCACAGGGGCCAGACTCACCACCCGTCACAGGGGCCAGACTCACCACCCGTCACAGGGGGCCAGACTCACCACCCGTCACAGAGGGCCAGACTCACCACCCGTCACAGGGGGCCAGAGTCACCACCCGTCACAGGGGCCAGACTCACCACCCGTCACAGGGGGCCAGACTCACCACCCGTCACAGGGAGCCAGACTCACCACCCGTCACAGGGGGCCAGACTCACCACCCGTCACAGAGGGCCAGACTCACCACCCGTCACAGGGGGCCAGAGTCACCACCCGTCACAGGGGCCAGACTCACCACCCGTCACAGGGGGCCAGACTCACCACCCGTCACAAGGGCCAGACTCACCACCCGTCACAGGGGGCCAGACTCACCACCCGTCACAGGGGGCCAGACTCACCACCCGTCACAGGGGCCAGACTCACCACCCGTCACAGGGGCCAGACTCACCACCCGTCACAGGGGCCAGACTCACCACCCGTCACAGGGGCCAGACTCACCACCCGTCACAGGGGCCAGACTCACCACCCGTCACAGGGGGCCAGACTCACCACCCGTCACAGAGGGCCAGACTCACCACCCGTCACAGGGGGCCAGAGTCACCACCCGTCACAGGGGCCAGACTCACCACCCGTCACAGGGGGCCAGACTCACCACCCGTCACAGAGGGCCAGACTCAGCACCCGTCACAGGGGGCCAGACTCACCACCCGTCACAGGGGCCAGACTCACCACCCGTCACAGGGGCCAGACTCACTTGGTTCTGCGAAGTATCACTCTCATAGCAGACGGGAGCGGGGCTGTGCGCGCGCAGGTCCTGACTGTCATGGCGCGCGCGGGAAGGCAAGGATGGTGTGAAGGGCAAGCTCCCTTGTTCTCCAGACTCTCCTCCTCCTGCACTGGCGTCTGCAGGTGGTGCAACAGGGGGAAGAAAAAGTGTCTCTTGAGTAAATTGAAATGGTGCAGTATTGCCGTCTGCAAGATTATATCCTCGTCCTTAACCCTTACCTTGCTACATGCTAGTCAAATAAGACATCTACATGCACTAATTTTACAAAATAACACATAAAAATTAACATTTAGTGTTTCTCGTGTTGGTAATTTAATAGTCAAGATGTTGGTATAGACAATTTCATATAAATTTAAAGTCAAATATCAAAACGAGTTTCCGAGATTTGCATGAGTTACCTCTGATTTTTTTCTTGTGTTGAGTAAGTAACATAAAATAGAAAATTCACAATATTACAGCATATACTATGTATAGTTTGGTTTCGTTAGGGCGACTAAAGTAGTTATCACCCTTAGTGATAACTAAGTTCAGCTGCTTAGTGGAGTATACCTCACGGTGCTACAGTAAACTACACAGTGCCTGTGTATAGCAACATATACGTCCTCGTATGTGTATACGTCCTGTGTATAGCAACATATACGTCCTCGTATGTGTATACGTCCTGTGTATAGCAACACATACGTCCTCGTATGTATAGCTGCCCGAAACGCTGCGCGTACTAGTGGCTTTACAAGACTGTAATTACCATATTATGTATCCTCACATTCCCAATGTACATTCTTGTATATGCATAAATAAAATAAATAAATAAATATACACCCACAGGTCCTCGCAGCCGAGTGGACAATGCTCTGGGGTCGTAGTCCTAAGGGGCCCGGGTTCGATTCTCGGTCGAGGCGGTAACAAATAGATTTTGATCTCACCCGATTTCCTTGTTCACCTAACAGTAAATAGGTACCTGGGAGTTAGACAGCTGCTACGGGCTGCTTCCTGGAGGATATATGTGTGCGTGTGTGAGATATATGTTGTAGATATGATAGAACAATTGGTCGGGAATCATTACTTTCGACAACCGATGGTTAGAAACGCGGGGTCCAAGAGCCAAGAGCTCGATCCTGCAGGTATAAACAGTAAACACACACACACACACGCACACATTTGAAATATATATACAGCATAATGTGATACCTAAGGTCTAGAGCTTGCCTAATAAGCTCAACATCTTTAGTTTTTCTCAATAATTTAAATTCATCGACAATGTGGTTAATTAAATCAACAAAACATGCAAAATTTTGCGTTTCAACCAAAATTAACTTTGACAAACTGGCCCATACATGCACATTATTCCCTAAATCAGCTTAACACTAGGCCTATAAAAAAAAGAATGCAATGGAAAACTAGGCCTACTTTTCTGGTTTATGTGTATGTAGTATCCACATTTTCACATAAGCCTTCTAAGGTATCACAAGAGGACGTAAGTCTTGCAGGGTCGGTCTTCGATCCCTTAAAGACCTAAATGCTTTGGCACCGTTCCTTCACTCCGTCCTCGTATCCCTATCCTGTCTCACATTCCAGATCTTAGTCTGTCTCATATCCCTTACAATTGCTCTATTGTCATACTGGCTACGCGCGTTCCCCATCCTTATTACCTTAACTAGCTAACAAGAAATTTGTCTTATCTACTGTACACTCCAAAATATTTTCTTTCGAGCATTTGTTAAAACACCGTTGCATTTAAAAAAAACACCTGTGGATGTTAAAACACTCGGGCTTTATGTTAAACACCCGTGTATAATGCTAAAACACCTGCATGTGTTATAGATCACATTTTAACGGTCTGTGTTTAGATTTTCCGGTCGAACCGAGGCCCTCCCTCAGCGCTTAGATGGAAGCCATTTTAGCCTCGTGTTTTCATGCGGGTACAATACCACTATTTGCTTGGACGCAAGGATAAGCTTCATCCAATACTCAGGTAGAATGAAAAAAACTGAGTCATCTGGCAGAATACAAAAAAAAAAGAGCCCCAACCAGTTATTCGGAAGAATCCAAAACACCAACGAATTCAAAGGTGGAATGTAAGAACCCCCCTAACCAGTGGTCAAGTGGAATCCAAACCCTTAACCAGAGGTCAAGTGTAATCCAAACCCTTAACCAGTGGTTGTGCTCAACCCATCAATTCAATCAAGAGTTTAGGTGCAACTTAAAATAACTCAATCAGTGCCCAATTTATACCCCACACGCGCAACCAATGCTCAAGTGGAATTTAAGATAACCTTTACCAGTGCTCAAGTAGAACCCAAGATAGCTTTAGATTAAACAGAGCTCAAGTGCAACCCAAGAAATCCTTAACCAGTGCTTAAGTGGAACCCAAGATAGCTTTAGTTTAATCAGTGCTCAAAATAGAACCTAAGACAGCCTTAAACAGTGTTCAAGTGCTACCCAAGAAATCCTTAACCAGTGCTAAAGCGGAACCTAGGATAGCCTTAACCAGCGCTCAAGCGGAACGAAGGATAACTTAAGGAGTGATCAGGTGAATCTCAAGATAGCCTTAACCTGTGCTCTGGACCAAGAATCACCAAGCACTTACATGGCCACTTACGAGGTCTGTACCTCTTATCTCGATCATGGAGGCTTAGTATGTATTTACTATAAGATCACTTTACACTTTAAGATCTCCGGAACTCTTAAGAGGTCATCCTCAACACATAGTATTATGGGCGACCTCGTAGCGTTGAAGCTCGTAAACAGTTTAGCGAATACAGACTAAGTCACCCTGAATGAGATCAGAGGTAAATATTTCGTAAGAGGATTCGTATGTGCTTTTATCAATTCTGGACAAGGTAAACTCCTTAGGAGCAAAGTCGTTGCAGGCGATGAGCCACAATAACGTGGCTGAAGTATGTTGACCAGACCACACACTACAAGGTGAAGGAACGATGACGTTTCGGTCCGTCCTGGACCATTCTCAAGTCGATTGTGTGACTTGAGAATGGTCCAAGACGGACCGAAACGTCGTCGTCCCTTCACCTTCTAGTGTGTGGTCTGGTCAGCAAAGACATTGTTCAGGAAAGTACTTAACCTGCTGTGTTCTGGTCCACATGGAAGGGAGGTATGTCGAGGTTTGCCCCATACCTGGCCTCAGAATCCTTCCCCACCTCCTCACCTCCTTTCTGTTCTTCGCTCATTATCTCTGAAACAATTTTGCTTTTTAAGTCATATTATTCAAGCCGTCCAGATATTGGACTATAGTTAGGGCACGTTTCAATGAGGATCCGTTTTCTTTTATTGTTTCAACGATGATCCATTTTCTTTCATCAATCCCTTTATTGAATTCGTTAAATGTCTCATAATCGTTGTATCCGTCCCTTTTATAACAAAACACGGAAATATAACCATTCACGAAATATTATACATGATAAACAAAACAAAAAACCTAATCAGATTGAAAACAAATCGTAAATTGTAAAATAATAATAAAAAAATTATTTGCTTTAGAAAGAAGTGATAAGTCAGAAGTTTTCCCAGTCAACCTACATCAACCTTAAGGGCCTAAATGACATTTAAAAGACGTTAGACATTATAGAGTATTTGCCAACACTTATAGCACTTCAGTAGACACTCAAATGATCACTTAAGCTCAATACTGATACACTTTAGTGTCGTAGGCGAGCTAAAGGAGAATACTAATTAGCAAAATTGTGGCCATGTCCTCAAGGCTGTGTGTGGGAAGTTGACTTGACAAACGATGGGACGAACAGAGCGGCAAATGGACGTCTATATTAGCAGACGGGAAAACGAATGGCTGTACAAGGAGACAGGGAAACGAACGGCAGAACATGCGGACACGAAAACGAATGCCTGTACAGGCAAGACAGGAAACCAAACAGCTGTACAGACAAGACAGGAACACGAACGATTGTACAGACAGGAAAACGAAGGGACGATCGGAATGTTGAGCAATCCAGGTCTACTTTAGAGGGTTGAGCACCAATGTCGCTCCACAGTCAGAGTCGCCACAGCCAAGTCTCCATTGACTCAATAGATCAAAGACAGGAACAAAGATTTATATAATCATAATACATTGAAAATATATATTAATACAAACTTATATAAACAAATGCCGTAAATTATTGAAATTACATAAACCAAAAAATTGCTGTATAAAAATAAAAATTAAATATTGTATCTCTTCTCTTAATTTGTGAGCGCCAAAGAGATTTACAGACAGAGAGAAAAAAATAAGCTCTTTCTATTACATTACCAAAATTTAACTCTAGTATGCAAAAGTCTTCCTACAATTTTTCCCCAAATGAATCGGCAATTCTTAATAGATGACGTAAAAATACTTAAATATTAAAACTCAACATTATAGTAAAAATGCTGTACAAAATAAACAGGATCTACACTAACCAATAAGTTACCATATATATATATATATATATATATATATATATATATATATATATATATATATATATATATATATATATATATATTTGGATATAGGCCAAAAACTGCCTAAATAAACGTAATATAAATTTTCCACATGTATATACGTATATATACATGTGGAAAATGTATAAAAAGCTCCTAATGTGTATATATATACACATTAGGAGCTATGAACGACTATATATACAAGTTACAATCTCTACATACAAAATCCTTCACAACATACAAAATCCTCTGAAAAATACAAAACCTTCAACATAAAAATCGACAACATACAAACTCCTACACAAACAAAATCCTATACAACATAACGCAATTATATAAAACATTCATAGCGCTCAACAACACACACAATCCTCTACAACATACACAATCCTCTACAACATATGCAATCCTATACAACATACACAATCCTTGACGACACACACAATCCTCTACAACACAATCCTTTACATCATACAAAATCTCCTACAACACAGACAATCTTCTACAACACAAGACAATTTTCTACAACACTCACAATCCTCTACAACACACACAATCCTCTGCAACACAAACACAATCCTCTATAACATATATAAACACAAAAGAACTCTACAGCATGTACAATATCCATCAAAATTATCAAATTATCAGTACAACTTAAAATCTCAACATATTAAAACGATACCAAATTACTACATAACCAATGATGCAAATCACATAAACTTTATTAAAACACTTAAATAGGAAAAAATGAATAAGATGAAACGTTTAAAACTTATACAAATATTACAGAAAATAAACTGTATGTTTACATGCGAGAGAGAGAGAGAGAGAGAGAGAGAGAGAGAGAGAGAGAGAGAGAGAGAGAGAGAGAGAGAGAGAGAGAGAGAGAGAGAGAGGTTGTTACCATGTCGTGTAGCCAGGAGCGGAAAGCCACGTCGCGGCGACATGGACAGCGGCGTCCCCGTCGACGACTGTTCCGCTGACGAATTGTCCCCTGCGTAGTCGGTGGTGCTGTCCTGCCGCTCCACGCTCACGTCTGTCGTGCACCAGCACAGGCAGGTCGCCAGGACACAACGAACCAAGGCGGAATCACCAGGACGAAGTCACCAGGACGGGGGTCACACAAAGGGGTTTACCAGTATGAAGTCGACAGGGAGGAATCAACGAGCCGGAAGCAGGACGAATCACCAGGGAATGGGGAAAACGGAAAGGAAAACATTTCAACAAAACGTGTTACATTCAAAAGTTGTGTATATTTCAAGGTTAATCACCAGCATTATAGACACCATGACAGTCACGAGAAGAAGAGAGAATAGGCAGCAAGTAAGAACAGAGAGAACAGGCAGCGAGTAAGAATAGAGAGAACAGATAGCCTCACACAATCTCCAAAAGCAAAATGCGGCAAAATAAGCCTAAGCCACCGTGTAAACATGAGAATAGCCCGATTTAAGGACTCGAATCGCAGTTTACTGTTATTAAACTTAAAACGACTTATTCACAACCTACCGTAATCTACCCTAGGCCGAGAATACAAAGCCTAACTAAAGAATCTAATTAAGAATTACGTAAAAAAATTCATTGTTAAAATCCAATCAACGTGTTGTGTTAGATTTTGTAGACAATGGTGGAGGTAAAATTAATTCAAATAGAAGTATGTAAAAATGTCTCAATTTGCCTCTCCGTTAAAATGACAACTGTTTTGCCTAACCCAAAACGTCAGAACCCGAACAAATCCACCTAAAGGATCGAGGCTGATGTCAGAAAACGTCCCTATTACGGTGCTTTTCTTTTTTTTAGTATTACGTCGCATACTTAACAGATTGGGCAGGTCTGTAAAGCAAAACAAAAAACAAAAATTGCAATAAATTAGACGAGAAGTCCTTCTACGAGGATTTTTGCTAGCCTAGTCCCACACGGTCAACGGAATCTCATCATATAACGATCTGCAACGGCTCACAAATTCAAATATTCAAATTTCCCGGTATTATAAACACAATAAACAGCCAAGAAAGGGTGGACCTACAAAAGGGGATGTTCTGAGACTGTGAAAGAATGCAACACAACAGAATTCCAAATAAGATGGTTCAAGTTTTGGCTCAAGATGTTAAGAGTGAGTGGAGACGTCGGCCTTAAGCTTCAGACGCCCAGCATGACCTGAAATATAAAACTGGACGATATACTTTTCACAGAAAATTCTCATCCGCTAAAGTTTTGGTGAAGATTCCCATTTTCTTCCTTCTTGCGGTCATTTCCATTTTCATTATTATATTATATTATATTATATATATATATATATATATATATATATATATATATATATATATATATATATATATATATATATATTATATATGGATATATATATATATCCACGTGGATATATATATATATATATATATATATATATATATATATATATATATATATATATATTATATATGGATATATGGATATATATATATATATATATATATATATATATATATATATATATATATATATATATATATATATATCCACGTTCTCTTTCTCCTCTACTTTTGCCGTCATGGCTCTTTACTCGTCTCTCTCCTCTCTCCAACTTTCAAGTCCTCTCACCCTCTCCTCTACAATTCAACCAGTGAAGTTGCGACTTTGATGAACTTAAAAAAAACTTTTTCCGTCTCCGGCCGAAGCTCACAAGTGGTCCTCCAAAATATGTATAATTTTCTATTACTTTCAACATATGTCAAGATTGAGGCTTTTTATGGGTAACTTTCTCCGTAGACTCTCCTATTCCATCTTTTCAACTACATCTACCCCTTTCCTTCTTTTTTTTATCTACCTTCCCTTCGCTTTAATCTTTCCCATTCCATCTACCTTCCCTCCCACTTCCGAGTGTTCAAAGAGATTGTCTGCCTTGTGTGTGATCAATAACAAACATTGAACAAATAATCTAAACTATTTTGTTTTAATTGCTCGTTTTAGGCTACTGATAATTTTGCTTAATTCGTATTAATATTAGTATTTATCGTTAATATTTTAAAGTATATTATTATCTTTATTAAATTTTTGTAAACCTCTAGGTTGTACTGCTTGTTCCGCGGGTAGATGAGGGTAGATGGGAGGGGTACAGAGGGGTAGATGGGAGAGTTACAGAGGGTAGGTGGGAAGGTACAGTGTGGTAAATGGGAGGGTAGATGGAAAGGTACAGAGGTAACACCACCATTGTAACGTATCGGATATTGGAGAAAGACAGGAAGAAATCTCATAAAAGAGAGATGGAAGGGAGGAATGAGGAAGAGTGGTCAGGAGAAAGGGAAAATTTAGAATGAAAGAAAATGGGAGGGGGAAAGAAAAGTGCTGAAGGAAAGAAGAAAGAAGTAGAAAATGTTGTCACCAGTCATTCAAGAGCTATTTATAAGACAAGGAATGGAACTTGTCTGTACCACAATATTATCTGATGTTACAATATTATCTGATGTTATTAAGTAACCACTATAACCATGTGACTCATATAGTCAAGAATCTCAAGTTTTTTATTTTTTAAATTTTTATTTTATTTTTATTTCTTATTTTTAATATTTAGCAAGTAAATTTCAGAGTGCTCTCCACTCTACCTTTCACTATATCATAGAAAATCCAAGATTTAGAGTTCAGAATTAACAACAATTAAAAAGTTAATAAATTATTAATGTATATATATATATATATATATATATATATATATATATATATATATATATATATATATATATATTTATATTTATTCAAGAAAAATTCACACTCATATGGATATCATAACTCAGCTGATGTTTAAATATCAACATTAATTCAAACTTCTTGCTAGTCACCACTCAAGGAATTGAGAGCAACTATGACTGCCGCTGAAAATCACGCAAAACTTATATTGGAAAGCACCAAACATGCGTCAATCTTACATTCTTACTCACCAAGATGGTGAGTAAGGAGGAGGAGTGATACGGCTGAGTGATACGGCTGACATGAGCCTCCACCGGCCTGGGACAGGCTTGTGGAGACCTAGCGAGGCTCCTCTATATCACTCTGTGTCTGTCCCTCTAATGTAGAGTTCCACGGGTATATAAAGGGGGAAACCAGGAGCTAAATTCCGCCTACCAGGAGATAGCCTCTGGCTATCAAGATTTTTTTTAGCTAAATTTTCCCCCAAAATAAGCTTTGGTGAACAGCTTATTTTTTGGTTGGAGGAGAAGGGGAACAAATCCTACTAAGATAGCCTCGGGTTATCTTCCCACCACACCAAGACGGCGGCTTGTGTGATGGAATGAACACCACCACCACCCGTCTGTAATTATCAGCTTCGCAGAGAGAGGTCACTTGATATGACCTGACCTCTACTCAACCTGTGATAATTAACACCCGAAAGGTGGGACTTTTAAAATGTTAAGGGCCGACAGCCTGGCGCCGCCAATATCCCGCGCGGAGGACCGACTCTGTATCAAGTACAGAGGGTAGATGTGAGGGGAGATGGGAGTGAAAATAAGAAAAAAAAGGGGAGAAGGCGAGTGGAAGATTAGAGTTGAGAAACGTACAGAAAATATGGGATATGGAGCAGGAATGAGGGAAAGGAGGGAGGGAGAGAACAATGAGGAAAGACGAGAACAAATCCTAAGCTTTCAGCCCTCAGAGAGAAAACTCCAAGCTTTTTATAACCTTTCTGGATTTGTTTAGCTTATTTTTTGCTAGAGAAGAGGAATGGTCGTTGGTTGGGGAGGGGGGAGAGGGGTAAGGTAGGGGGCGGGCTAGATGGCGTTGGTAAAGTTCATCAGGAACATCACGTTGTTCTAAAGTTCTCTACAAGTGTTATAATAACGTTCACCTCTTTATAACTGGACCTCCCGCGCCCTATTTTGCCCGTGATCTCCCGCCACGAAGTCCTCAGCTACGCTCGGATACTTGCTATATTATGGTGTCATTGGTCACTACAAGAGGGTCACTACGAGAGGGTCACCACCTTCTCACCAATGATCGTGCCTTAAACACCCGGGGGGTCAACATCTCACCACCCGGGGTCACACACCACAACAATCAGAAGACCGTTCAATAATTCAAGAACAAAAACGAGCATTACCAAAACAATCAAACAGCAAAAGTAAAAGCATCATAGCTTATTAAAGTTGGTCCTAACCCCTAGAACGAAAAATTATGAAAGAAATGATAGAAAAGAATCTGAATTCAGGTAAATTCAGATAAAATTACAAAAATACAAAAAAATATTATGAAGAAAAGATCACAGAAAACGATGGTGAAGGAAAAAGCATTTCAAGAAAGAAAACTGAACAGATGACGAATGGGGTACTTGCCTGGATGCGAGTTGCTTCGAACCCCGTCCAGGAGGACATCTTTCCGCCTCGCTAATTTGCTGTCCTTGCTCAGAGTGCGCTGAAACTTGGTCTGAAACACGGAGAGAGTCAGGTCAGTCCTATTAGAAACACATCGAGATCGTTAAATCGATTGGAAACATAGCGAGATCGATTGGTACATGGACCTGCCCGAAACGCTGCGCGTACTAGTGGGTTTACAAGATTGTAAATACTATGCTATGTATTCTCACAAACCCAATGTACCTTCTTGTATATAAATAAATAAAATAAATAAAATAAATAAATAAATGAAGACATATATAAATATTTACAATTTAGGAATACAACACTTCAATGACATTGAAAGGAAATGGTACCCAAAAGCAGCTTTTCAGGCCGTTATAAATTGGTTAGACCGCCACAAAGGCTACTACAACCCGGCCAAGTTATAAATTGGTTAGACCGCCACAGAGGCTACTACAACCCGGCCAAGTTATAAATTGGTTAGACCGCCACAAAGGCTACTACAACCGGGCCAAGTTATAAATTGGTTAGACCACCACAGAGGTTACTACAACCCGGCCAAGTTATAAATTGGTTAGACCGCCACAGAGGCTACTACAACCTGGCCAAGTTATAAATTGGTTAGACCACCACAAAGACTACTACAACCCGGCCAAGTGATAAATTGGTTAGACCGCCACAGAGGCAACTACAACCCGGCCAAGTTATAAATTGGTTAGACCGCCACAGAAGCTACTACAACCCGGCCAAGTTATAAATTGGTTAGACCGCCACAGAAGCTACTACAACCCGGCCAAGTTATAAATTGGTTAGACCACCACAAAGGCTACTACAACCCGGCCAAGTTATGAATTGGTTAGACCACCACAAAGGCTACTACAACCCGGCCAAGTTATAAATTGGTTAGACCACCACAAAGGCTACTACAACCCGGCCAAGTTATAAATTGGTTAGACCGCCACAAAGGCTACTACAACCCGGCCAAGTTATAAATTGGTTAGACCGCCACAAAGGCTACTACAGAAGCTTCAGAGGGACACACACCTTTACCTTCAGTCCAGAGGTCATCTTTTTCAATCTCTAACGAGAAGAAAAATTAATTAATACATTGTACTATGGGTCCTCCCCCTTCTCCCCTCCAGAGGTGGTACCCACTATATATATATATATATATATATATATATATATATATATATATATATATATATATATATATAATTATTACAAAAACTATATAAAAGTGCGTAAAGCTCACCCTCATAAAAAAACACTAATCATATTGGTAAGCAAAAAGTTTCGAAAAGGGGAAAAAAAAAGCAGCAATGCAGGAATGAGTGAATATTATCAACAAAAGCCTCAGCAACCCTTCAATTACACAATTTTCTGCCGTCGGAAGTTTTTAAGGAAAAAGTGATATTATATACTAGGAATTTTGCTTAAGTATTTTCGAGGCACATGGAAGGGTTAGGCTTTCCCTTTTATCATTAACATGGTTTAATTATTTTGATGACAATTTGATGTTATTGTTGCAAGGTTTAGGCTCGTTTGTAAGTACCTGAGAATCTGCACCATTTGCGGATGCTGATCTGACCAGCTGGTCCAGATTCACGAAAGCACTTACGCAAGTACTTACGAACGTGTACATCTTTCCTCAATCTTTGGGGGCCAGATTCACGAAAGCACTTACGCAAGTGTACATCTTTCCTCAATCTTTGGGGGCGAGATTCACGAAGCAGTTACGCAAGTACTTACGAACGTGTACATCTTTCCTCAATCTTTGGGGGCGAGATTCACGAAGCAGTTACGCAAGTACTTACGAACCTGTACATCTTTCCTCAATCTTTGGGGGCCAGATTCACGAAGCAGTTACGCAAGTACTTACGAACCTGTACATCTTTCCTCAATCTTTGACGGCTTTGGTTACATTTATTAAACTGTTTACAAGCATGAAAACTTCCCATTCAACTGTTGTTATTGTTATAAACAGCCTCCTGGTGCTTCGGAGCACATTAACTGTTTAATAATTGGAAACAAAGCCGCCAAAGATTGAGAAAAGATGTACAGGTTCATAAGTGTTTGCGTAAGTGCTTTCGTGAATCTGGCCCCAGATGTAGTCAGGAACAGAAATATCCCACACCTTAGTATCACTGTGATATAATTCGAAGAAAAATATCAAGAATTCAAATATAAGTACATTCTTCTTTCAAAATTACATAGAACCAAAATTACATAATTACGCAAAATTACGGGCTGTGGACGTAAACCACTGTGCTACAGGGGCCATGTCAAGATCACCGAGATCCAGTTTCTGACGTTACGGACTATTCATGCCCGTGCCACCTCTTGGGGTGACTTAATCTTTATCAATCAAATTTAGAACTATTATCTTATGTATGACCCTCTGTCCTGCGTGACAGTGAATCCCAGCATTTTCCTCACTTTAATAAGACTTTATTAAAATCCTCAGATTAGGCAAAATTGTAATTAATTTTGTCAATAAAGATGTTAATAATAATATATTTCAAAGTTGTTGGCGAGTTGTACGACACTAGCCTCCCCCGGGAGTCCACAAGATGGGTATAGGCTCCATAACAACTACTCAAACAGTAGCAGCCCTCAGCTGACTCCCACAACCACGTGTAAACAAAAGAACAGCTGACTCCCACAACCACGTGTACACAAAAGAACAGCTGACTCCCACAACCACGTGTAAACAAAAGAACAGCTGACTCCCACAACCACGTGTAAACAAAAGAACCACGTGACAGTGTGACGTCAACAAGAGAGTTTATAAACACCATAAGCGTCTCTAAAAAACAAAATACTAAAAGCCTACAAATCCCTTATTGAAAGAACACTACAAGAAAAAAGGTAAAATTTTTTACAAATTTTAATGAGAAAGATAATTTATAACTTAACAAATTACTTGTTACAGTCCCTATCCAGAACATCAGCAGGAGATTTGGTCATCTCCGTGGCGCCTGACACACCTAAATCATCCATTAATCTAGAAAACATTTGATTACATCACCTAAAATTATCTAATTCTCCTCCTAGAAGATCTATTATTACTCTTAAGAGTGCCATTAAACCTGAAAGATCCATTAATCCCCCTGAAAGATCCATTAGTCCTCCTGAAACACCCATTACTCCTAAACGATCCCCCTCACTCCTCCAAGTTCCATTACTTCTCCTAACAGCAGCCAACGACCCCCAAGTCCCAGACTCCCTGAAGCACACTGACCCTTGAGGAAGCTGGAGCCTCTCAAGACGGCATAGATCACGTCCTAAGCTCACCTGAAGGGGAGGAAAATACCCGTCTAAGATCCTATCCTGTGGATTATTACTACCTATTTTAACATCCTCGTAAATTCGTTAAATAAAGACCTGCCTTCCTGACTGGCCGTTACCCCATTTTGTCCGTTAAATATTTTACAATTTATTCGAATTACCCCATTTAAAACTGTGTGTTACTAAATATTATATAATAAGCTTCGTCATCTACTTAAAATTCATGCATACAAGAACCAGAGAGTTTTTCGTGTTTTATTGAACAGGACACATCCTCCCCCTCCCACGGCATAGCAACGACTGGCTGCCGACGCTCTTGCCATGTTGCATCAAGATAACAAAGTTGCCAGATGTTTCCATTTGGAATATTTCCCCATTTAGCTAGCCCATAGATCCATAGATATAAATTCTTGCCCGGCTGTTACGAAAACAAGATGCATTAATAAAATGTTATTATTTTACAATCTTGAAATTTCTATAGTCACTAAATTTGTGTGTATAAATATATATTATTATAATTATGGCACATCGGCAACCTTTTTGCATAAATTGCCAACTATGCATTATTCACGCGATTTTAATGCTTCAGGTCGTGACACGATCCAGCAGCTTGATAACACAGCTCAGAGGCGGGGCCCAAGAGCCGACGCTCAACCCCTGCAAGCACAAGTAGGGTGAGTACAGCCCTGAACTCATCTGTTTCCACGATAATATAACCCCCTAACCTCATGTTTCTACGATAACAGCTCCTTAACTACGTGTTCCTACGATAACAGCCCCCTTAACAACGTGTTCCAACGATAACAGCCCCCTTAACCACCTGTTCCAACGATAACATAGACCTCTCTCTCCCTGTTGGTTACGGAGCGGGAGCAATGATGGAGGAGGAATTGAGATAGATAAAGATGGCGGAAGAGAGATAAGGGAGAGAGAGAGAGAGAGAGAGAGAGAGAGAGAGAGAGAGAGAGAGAGAGAGAGAGAGAGAGAGAGAGAGAGAGAGAGAGAGAGAGAGAGAGAGAAAGAGGCTGAAGAGAGGGAGTGTAGGAAGGCTCCCTCTCGTTAATATTTCTCAACAATACAATACTACTTAAAACAAATTAGAACGAAGGAGGATTTTTTACAAATGCTCCTAGTGTTCTTGGACAAAAAAAAAAAACTGAGATAATTTTAGAGATGGCTTCTCGACTTAAATTCAAACACATGCAAGTGCATGAGATCTGGGATAGGGAGTGAGAAAGACATAGGAACAATGAGAAAACTGAATCCCCTACAATGACATAAATAAATCCCAAGTACATTACCCCAAGACACACATTAACAGACCCAACCCCCATACTCTCTTAGTGACACGATATTCAAGAAAAATTGCTCTAATTTGCATTTCTCCCAGGGAAAAAACAGCTCTTAATTACCCCAACTAGGCCACTGACGAGCTCTACTCTACCAAATTAACCAAGACGAGTGTCCCCCCCCCCACTCTGCCCCCTCCCCCTCCCCCCCCACTCTGCCCCCTCCCCCTCCCCCCCACTCTGCCCCTCCCCCTCCCCACTCTGCCCCTCCCCCCCCCCCCCCAGGTCCCACCAGCACTCTTAAAGGAGAAGTTGCAACCAATTTTCATTCTGAATTAAAGTTTCAATTTTGTGTTTACATTCACATGTTTAAATTTACCTTTTTTTTCTAATTGGATTATAATTATTATTGTTGTTTTAACAAGCTCGAACTTTTGAATTTGGCCTTCGAATCCCCGGCGTTGCTTGCAGGAGTTGCCTTCTGTGTTGCTTGCAACAGCAACGCGCATGTTGAGCGAATATTGCAACTCAAAATTTTCCTTTTAATAAGGTTTCATGTGTTTATACATTCAACGTATACATATTACCATTTCTTGTACGTCGAGGCTCGAATCCATGCGCTGTGCCCTACATGGAAGTGTGAAACGTACACTAAGACGTGCACGAGACTTTAGACGTGCGGGAGACTTACCCTAAGTGTAGTGAAGAAAGAAGCGGTCGGTCTGGGCTGGGTGGTGGACCTCGGTCTCTCGCAACCTTCGACCTTCCGCGGGTCCAGCGGCGGAGACCCTCTAGGGGAGATGTCTGCAGACCTGCAGAGTGGAGGGGAAGTGGTGATCCAGTGACTGGGGGACAAAGCAGAGAGGGGAAGAGTAAAAGGGGAAACGGGAGAAAGGATTAAGGGAGAGAGAGAGAAATGATAGGGCAGAATTAAGGAGATACGCAGGAATAGGAGATATAAATCACTGATAAAACACATTAAAACAGCAACATACAACAAACTTGTATTCTATAGCAATAATAAATTCTACCAGTTACAAATCCTTCATCAACTTCCTAGACAGAAAAACCAACAAGTCAGATTATCTTGTAAAATCACACTTGAACGATCGACAAAAACTTCTTACAGAAAGTTGGGAATTCTGTTGAGACTTGAGAATTCTCTTGAGATATTGCTCTTCTCTTGTCACTTCTCCTCGTCCAGGTCTCATCTGTTCTTGTTCACCGAACTGTTCTCAAATTTTGGGAAGGTCAATAACAATGTTCTTCATGTTTGGTATCATCATCCTCCTGTTCTTCAAATCTCGTATCATATATTAAGCTTATAACAGCAATAAGCTTTATATGCAGTAACAAGTGTTGTGACATTTAAGGTCAGTAACAATAACTTTTGAACCAGTTTTCTTAACTCGCATCAAAAGGCGAAATTGTCAAAGAAATTTACGTCAAAAATCGAAATTTTGTATTTATTCTCTTGAACTTCAGCCCCAATAAAATCTCCCCAAACCTACTTGTAGATAAGGCGACTAAGAATGGATCAAAAAATGGATTAAACTCTAAAACATTCTATATAACCTTATATTACGATATCAGAACAGGCAGGCGTCTTCTTGCAGGCGACGAGTCACAATAACGTGGCTGAAGAATGTTGACCAGACCACACACTAGAAGGTGAAAGGACGACGACCTTTCGGTCCGTCCTGGACCATTCTCAAGTCGATTGACTTGACAATCACACTTGAGAATGGTCCAGGACGGATCGAAACGTCGTCGTCACCTTCTAGTGTGTAGTCTGGTCAAACCTTGTAATAATTGTTCCATGTTTCGACAGCAAGGAGCACCCAATAAGAAACACCTAACTTGACAATTGCAAGAGATGCAGACAGATTCACCAGCTGCACCTCGATGTCCCATCTTCCCGCCAGAATGACACACAAAGCAGCGGCCAGGTCGATTATAGCCAGCACCGATGACAGAAAACCAAACTTCAAGGGAAAACTCAAGGAAACTGCTGTTTATCTCCACGTATACAGAGAAAGAGTTCGAGGGGAATTCAACTGAGGTTATTGTTATAGATTCAGCTACTCGGAACAAGTTCCAAGTAGCACGGGCTATGGTGAGCTCGTAACTTACCTGGCACAGGAGCGGGACAAGTAGCACGGGCTATGGTGAGCCCAGAGTGGACTTACCTGGCACAGGAGCGGTGCTCTCAAATGACGTTTGTGAAATTTAATAAATATCAGCTTTCAAGAATTCTTCAGATCAATTCTATTGGGATATAATATAATAATACTTCACTGTGTGGGGGGGGGGGACAGGCAGTCAGTGTATATATATATATATACATGAAAGGCTGTTATCGAGGTCCCCTCCATCCCACAGAGGTTCACCACTTACTGACCCCCGCCCCAGGGATGCAGCACATACTGACTCACAGGTACATATTTACTGACAGGTGAACTGGGGAATTAGGATATAGAAAACGCGCTCAAACATTTCTGCCTCGCAGTGGATTCGAACCCGGAAATCCCGATGGTTAGCCGAGACAACATTTCCACATAACACAGTTGGGATGAAATCGACATTAACAAATCTGAAGTTAATTTGGGGATAATTATGCTGCAGTAAATTGGATAAGTGCTATCTTATACTAGAGAGAGAGAGAGAGAGAGAGAGAGAGAGAGAGAGAGAGAGAGAGAGAGAGAGAGAGAGAGAGAGAGAGAGAGAGAGAGAGAGAGAGAGAGAGGGAGGGAGGGACAGAGATGGGAGTGATAAAGAAGGAGACTCCGTGATGTCGTGGAGAGATCACCGGAGACGCAGTAGATAAGAGCATGCCCAGGACACGGCTGAAGGCAGGAATGAAGTATAACACACGATAACTGGGCAAAATAAAGAAAACAACGACAGGAAATGTCTGGTCGAGGACAGATAACACCTGGTCGAGGACAGATAACACCTGGTCGAAGACAGATAACACCTGGTCGAGGACAGAGAACACCTGGTCGAGGACATGAGATACCTGTCGAGGACAACTGAAATATCTCCAACTTCACCCACGTGAATAAACTCAAAGTATCCACCAGGTTTAGGTCCAAGCTTCTGTCAGGTAAACTTCATATCCAAGCTCAAGTTCCTAAGCTTACAGGCGATTATATCCCTCAGACTGCCGCCCACTGGACAGGTGTGGGGTGTATAACAGACAAATTAGATCTATATGTAATTACATCACCATAAATACAACTTGCATAGAGTTTCAACCTGTTCTCAGGCCAAGCTCGTTAAAGCGGCCGCCGTCTCACACGACGCCTTTGTTTATTTTAACGTGTTGTGGATTAAAAATAGGTTATATATAATTTACTATTGCTATTAAAAGTTTTATGTATAGCTAGACATAAGTTAGATTAAGTCAGGTGTTCGGATTCTGTTGGCGATTATTTGTAGTACGTGGGTGAAACACAGAGGTGTGATTCGAACAGCGGCCGTCAGCGAAGCACTATTCGAGAAACGTTCGAACGTCATCAGTAATGAGTTGTATGTCAACCATTTTTCCCACTCACACACAGGTTTAGCGACTGGATAAACCAGCATTTGACCTGTGTTGATGAGGACGGACTGTTTACAAAGGTGCGATTCGAACCCAGGACATGAACGAAGTTCGAGAAAAGTACTTACGTTATCAGCTGTGAGTCGTGTGTAAACCGTTATCATTCATTAACTTGGGTTTGGCGGGTGAATTAATGAGCATTTGGCCTTTGTTGATGAGGAGATGTTGAGATTACAGAACATTAGGGGGTTTAATTCCTGAATTCATGTATAGCTGCCTGTAACCGTTCCGCCACCACAAGCAGGATGGCTATGGATGACATAGACAAATTAATCTAACTAGAATGCTTTGTGGCTATAGGGACCTTTGGGAACCGAACCTAGTCAAAGTTAACCATGTTTTCACATAGTAATTATCAGCTTGGTTGTAAATCGACCAGCTGGTCCTATTCCAGGGATAACTGTTGGAATGGAAAGCTCTAAGTAATAAGAATAAGACGTCACCTTCTGAGAGAGAGAGAGAGAGAGAGAGAGAGAGAGAGAGAGAGAGAGAGAGAGAGAGAGAGAGAGAGAGAGAGAGAGAGAGAGAGAGAGAGAGAGACCAACAACACCCCAAACACGCCACCACTTCCAGACCCTTACCGCCTCTATCCTCTGTTTTATCAGGGTCGTATACCACCAGATTACACAGAAAATGTTGTTCGCTGTAACTGTATTTTCCAGATTACTGCATGAGGGAGGGGGATGCATACAGCCACACACACACACTCCTAAGTCTAATGTATCAGGATTGTATTCTAAAGTTTACCAGTTTACGTATGTATATGTATACAAAGAGAGTATTCAGGAATTGTAATTTTTTCCAACTCCCGCATTCAAATGCCGTTTTCTGTTTTACAAGAGGCGGAGTGTGATGCATTTTCTTGAATTAATTCAGGAATAATTAGACAGTTTCCCACAGTGTTGCAATTTCCACGTATGCCATTTATTTGGCAGTGTGTTCTTACTTCACCAAGCCGTGCGTGCCGGGTCCGGCATCAGCTCCTGGGCCCCAACTCTTGTAGTTCTTGCCAAGCCCTCATTGTCTAGATTTGTGTCTGAGTGTATGTATACATACATGTATACAGTATGTATACTGTATACATGTATACAGTTTGTATACATGTATACAGTATGTATACATGTATACATGTATACAGTATGTATACATGTATAATACAGTATGTATACATGTATACATACATGTATACAGTATGTATACATACACATAGATGCGTTGTAAACATCTGCTTGCCGTAGTTACTGATCACTGTGGTTAACCGTGGTTGATTTAATTTTAAATTATCAGGGGAAAACGCCTGGGGGATCGAACCCGGACCCTCCTGGTGGTGTGGTGGAACTCGCTACCACCTCACCATCAAGTTCCCCCCCCCCCCGGGAAAACGCCAAGCCATTACGATTTTATAGCACTTGGAAGGGATCAGGATAAGGATTTGGGATGGGACGGGGGAAAGGAATGGTGCTCAACCACTTAGGCGGTCGGGGATTGAACGCCGACCTGCATGAAGCGAGACCGTGGATGAGTCAACTTGTCCTCTCGAGTAATACATCGCATTTTGACGCCAACATCCCCAACGGGTAAAATATGATATACTATATATCATAGCGGCTCACAAGCATTCACGTTTTCTATGGGTAGGGGACGCTCAGTTATGTTAGGTTCAGGTGCACACCATTTTCTGTCACATTGCCTCAATATTTTCACATTGATCCATCACGCTATTGTGACAGCAGTTTGCATATATGTATAAATGGAAATATTCGGTCAGTCCAAGGGTGGAACACCTGTTTTTCGGTGTACGAACACTTGAGTTTATTTGATAGTCCTGAACTATGTTTAGCTTAGTCAGTAAGCTCTTGTGGTGGCCTAACTAACCTCTCCAGAGTCCAGAGATGGTTGGTTATAGATTCAGCTACTCGGAACAAGTTCCAAGTAGCAGGGGCTATGGCGAGCCCGTAGTGGACTTACCTGGCACAAGGGCGGTGGAGTCCAGACGTCAATAGGCTCTGCTCTAAACTAATCTAATCTAACCTAACCCCCAACACCATACTGTATATAAGTACCATCGTTCACAAATAGGTTTGCCAACGGATTTTAAAACTTCCTGAACCTAACCTAACTCAACCGAGCCTAACACAGTCTAACCTAAAATAATACATTCTAACCTAAAATAATACATTCCAACCTAAAATAATACATTACAACCTAAAATAATTCATTCTAACCTAAAATAATACATTCTAACCTAAACCAATACATTCTAACCTAAACGTATAATCTGTTTAACACTCACAAAATGTGAGGTTTTTTCCCCGAACCGTCTCGTGTACAATTAGACCAGCCCACACAATCCACACTCCACAACAGAGTATGACAATCACATACCTCCATCCTGATCTTCCAGCCCATTCCTCCTCGCGAAACTCCGCATCTATTTGCATAAATACAATCTACTTCATGAGCAGTTTAATGGAGAAAACCCGGTCCCCGGCAGCCAGTACGGAGCCATAGTACCGTATCCCAGCCTCTCGTGGGAGTAAACAAACGCGACTAAGATCGGAAAGTCTATATAGGATGTAGATATAATGTCTTAGGGTCCCCCCTGGCGGTCAGCGTCTGAAGCTGAGCTACAGACATGTCGGTTGGGAAATTGAAATGTTCCATTTTCTGTATCTCTTTCTCGGCCTATACTCGTCTATTTATATTTCTCTTAGCATCTATCTCACGTATGTATATAAGATCTCAGCTGCTAACAGGAGTCAGAAGTCGTCTGTTGAGGTACTCAGTTGTGTAAAGATGGAGAGAGAGAGAGAGAGAGAGAGAGAGAGAGAGAGAGAGAGAGAGAGAGAGAGAGAGAGAGAGAGAGAGAGAGAGAGAGAGAGAGAGAGAGAGAGAGAGAGAGAGAGAGAGAGAGAGAGAGAGAGGGAAGGGACCTCGCATGGAGACGTGACCGTTAACAATCCTTCCTACAAGACAAATCACCAGCCAACCAGCCCATCTTGTTACCACCTGTGGCTGCCTTACAAGTACCCCCCCCCCCACTGAATGCCTCGTCACATGTGCAGCACATTCAACATTCCGTGATTGATCAATATGTTGTGCGATGCTCGTGTGGACGCGGGTTGCAACATGCTAATTTCCGTTGCAGGATGTGAAATGTATGCATGGATGAGGCCCCTCGTGTGATGCTTGTTCCCGCTCAGTCGGAAAACGTGTCGTACCGAAGTGGTGGTGGTGGTGGTGGTGCCAGTGCCCAGGTGTTCGAATAGGTGGTGACAGTGCCCGGGTGTTCGAACAGGTGGATGTTGATTGTATGAATTTAAAGCCATATTTTGCGTTCCAGCATAAACATTTTATTTGTATTATATGAAGAGGTCAAATGTTGAAATAATATTTGAACACGTTAATGCCTGAGGAAATTTAAGCTTAGTCATACTGTCACACTAACTTGTCCTAACTTGTCTTGAATAGTCATTCTGTCACACTAACCTGTCCTAACTTGTCCTGAACAGTCATTCTGTCACACTAACTTGTCCTAACTTGTCTTGACTTCACCCATCCATCCTCACACTCACCCGCACCACTCTAACTTGCCCTTAACACTGTATTTACATCCCTATACTAACCTAACCACAACGTACAAAATCCAACGTGTTAACCGTACACTGCTGCTTGAGCACCATCATTTCGGGATGGTGGTGTGGGGGGGGGGGACATCTCATCGGGTACTGAGACTCGAACCCCGGACCTCAAGTGGTACAATGAAACAGCTATCTTCCTGTGCAATTCAAAAACTTCCAGATTCCAAGGGTGGCTAAAAAAACTGCCTCGAGTCTCACATTTGACCTTGAAGGAGATATTCAAGGACAAGAAAAAGCGGCATTTCAAAGTAATTTGAAGGTCGGAACGATATCAATTTTAAAACTATCAAAACCCGCCATACTATGGTCAGGAAATCGATATTTCAAGGTTAGCTAAAATGACCTTTTAAGCTCACTAAAAACGACATTTCCAGGTCAACAAAACGACATTTCGAAGAGTCAAGAAGAAAGGTATTTGATGGTGATGAAAAACGGGAATAATATGCAGGCGATGAGTCACAATAACGTGGCTAAAGTATGTTGACCAGACCACACACTAGAAGGTGAAGGGACGACGACATTTCGGTCCGTCCTGGACCATTCTCAAGTCGATTGAACTTGACTTGAGAATGGTCCAGGACGGACCGAATCGTCGTCGTCCCTTCACCTTCTAGTGTGTAGTCTGGCAACACGGGATTAATATCAAATGAGACTTTCCATTTTACAGAACGTCACAAAGCAAGCCACTAAAATGTCAAGAGGAACACATGCAGGTCCAAGAGGGACCAACTACCACCACACACACGAACCCAACGACCAGCTAAAATACCGTCCCCAAGTGAAAAATCTGAAGAATTTCTTTTAGTACAGACAAAAATCTACCAAAACAAAGAGCCACATGTTATGGTGAGGAGAGAGAGAGAGAGAGAGAGAGAGAGAGAGAGAGAGAGAGAGAGAGAGAGAGAGAGAGAGAGAGAGAGAGAGAGAGAGAGAGAGAGACCTGCACAATGGTGCGTCCCCCCTATATAAGAAACACTCTTTATCCAAAGTTGGAGGTGAGACACTTGGAGTTAACCTCATGCAACTTTGCAGGGAAGATAGTCTGGGGTATAGGATGGACATAGGATGGTCGTGTACGGCTTACATTAAAAACTTTTAAGAAATATTATCATTTATACTACCAAGTGATTTTCATCAAATGTGACATATTTGGTGTGTTTTCCATAGAGTTATTTCGGCGCTTCTTAATAAATTTTCAGAAAGAAGGGAAAAAGTAGGGAGGAAGAAAGACAACATGGACATTGGGCATGAAATATGATGACAAGAAAATCCAGAGGATGGATTTTTCTGGAAAATCCAGAAAAAAGTGGATGGAGGATGTTACCTGTCCCCGGAGATGGATCTGGACCGGTGGATGAGCTCTGTGGCCGACTTGGAGAACGACCTCCGCATTGATCCGCTCTCAGTACCATTTTCCCGACTGCTGCCGACCTCTGAAACACCAGGAGCAGAGAGTTAGAGTCATGCGTACACACGCCTAAATAAACGCACACACGCGCGCGTACACCCCACACACACACACACACACACACACACACACACACACACACACACACACACACACACACACACACAGGGCAAAATTCGGTATTCTCAAATGACCTGGACAGACTGAAGGAATGGTCCAACAAATGGCTACTGGAGTTTAACTCCAGTAATTGTAAAATAATGAAACTAGTTGGAGGATGAAGGAAGCCAAACACCTGGCACAAATATGGAGATGAAATCCTTCAGGAATCGGCAAGAAAGAAAGATCTGGGGATTGACATTACATCGGACCTGACCTATAAAGCCAACATCAAAAGGATATCATCAGCGGCATATGCGAGGCTGGCAAAAATAAGAACTGCCCTTAGAAACCTGTGCAAGGAATCATTCAGAACCTTGTATACCTCATATTTCAAACCAATCCTGGAGTATGCGGCTCCAGCATCGAGTCCGTATCTAGTCAAACTCAAAACTAAGTTAAGAAAAATTCAGAAGTATGCCACTAGACTAGTCCCCGAGCTCTGAGGTATGAGATACGAGGAAAGACTTGAAAGTAAACCCCACGACACAGGAAGAGTTAGGGGGAGACATGATTACAATTTACAAGATTCTCAGAGGAATTGACTGGTTAGATAAAAATCAACTATTTAGCACGAGTGGTACTCGAACAAGGAGACACAGGTGGAAACTTAGCACCCAAATGAGTCAATGGGGCGTTAGAAAGATTTTTTCACTGTCAGAGTAGTTAACAAATGGAACGCACTAGGTAGTGATGTGGTGGCGGCAGACTATAGATAAACAGGTTTCGTAATTTATTGCGTAAATTGCTTAATTAATCCTTGCTGGTCCAGACAAACGAGGTCATTGGGGGCTTACACCGTCCAATCCCGTCGCTACCATCAAATGACCCTTACACCAATTTGCTGCTGCCCTGAACCTCTCCATTCCATCACAATCCTTCCATCCTGCTGGGTGGAAGGGGGAACCAGGAGACGCATTCTCTGTCCTACATGCAACTTTCCCTTAATTGATCTGTTCCGTACGCATTCTAAATAATCTGGGACCAGATTCACGAAGCAGTTACGCAAGAACTTACGAACCTGTCCATCTTTTCTCAATCTTTCGCGGCTTTGTTTACAATTATTAAACAGTTAATGAGCTCCGAAGCACCAGGAGGCTGTTTATAACAATAACAACAGTTGATTGGCAAGTTTTCGTGCTTCTAAACTGTTTAATAAATGTAACCAAAGCCGTCAAAGATTGAGGAAAGATGAACACGTTCGTAAGTTCTTGCGTAACTGTTTCGTGAATCTGGCACCTGTTTCATACGCAAATTTCCATTTAATCTCAGTTCCATACGTGATCTTTGCATGCCATCTCTGGTCCACATAGAGCCTTTTCCTTTGTTTTATTAACCGGATCTGTGTGAAATGGCACATGTGCTAAATGCAACCCGTTCTCGCAAATTTAATAAGTCAATATTGACTTATTAAATATGTGCATAGGTGACATACTTAACATAATAGATACCCTTAAAAAGATTCATAGAAAACACCGACCTTACCTAACCTTGTTAGTATCTTAAGATAAGCATCTTATTGCTTCGTAATTACAATTATTACCTAACCTATAATAGGTATAGGTTAAGTAATAATTGTAATTACGAAGCAATAAGATGTTTATCTTAAGATACTAACAAGGTTAGGTAAGGTCGGTGTTTTCTATGAAAATTTTTAGGGGTATCTATTATGTTTAGTATATCACCTATGCACGTAGTTAATAAGTCAATATTGACTTTACGAATTTGCGAGAACGGGTTGGCTAAATGGCACGTGTAAAATGGCACATGTGTAAATTGGCACATGTGTAAAATGGCACATGTGTAAAATGGCACATGTGTAAAATGTCGGATAAACAAACTCCTCTTAATTCGAACTATTGGCAGATGACACACTGTACAAAATCCTTATAGTTGTCTTACACGGATCCTTGAGAAGTGCTGCATTCCCTCGATATTCCGAGTTCCAGTTAACTCGCACTGTTCTTGTAAGCGGCGCATGCGCAGAGTATTGATCCCCCCCCCCCTCTCCTTATCTCTTCCCCATCTACCCCCCCCCCTGTCCCACTCCCATCCCACTTCCCCCATCTCTTTTCCCACCCACAACAGCTAGATTTATCAGCTGAATTACTGTAATTCTTTCCAGTTTCCAATGTTATTTATCCCTTTTTACCCTCTTCTTTCGTTTATTTCACATGCTTTATCAGCTTCTTTATCAGCTCTTATTATCTCGCTTTCTTATTATTTTGTCTTTAATTTCTTATTTTTATTCCTCTATCCGCTCTTCTGTCTTCTCTAACCATCTATCTCATGCCTCTACGTTCTCCTTAATATTATTTCTTATTCTCTCAATCACCCTTTTTCTTTTCTTCCTTTCCTCCTAAGTCTTCTTCCTAATTATCTTCACCTTTCTTTATTGTTCCATTTTTCAAGTTTTCCTGTACGTCGAGGTGTGCTTGGGAGGCTTCTTCTCCCCTCCCCCCCTTTGGCCTCGTGTGAGGTCAGGCTAATTGGTGGTTTTTCCCAGGACGGTCGTTAAGGTGGTTTACAACAGGTAAACTCAGTATAAACATTGTTGTTGTCTGCTCTTGATAGGTACTCCATTCCTTTGTCAGCCCTCGCCTCTCTTTCTCTCTCTCTCTCTACTCAAACTCTCAAACTTATCGTTCATTCAGGTAATTTAGAGTCGTCTGCACGCCCGAAACTCAGTGACGAACATTTCCTATATACGACGAAAAACATTGGAATGATCACACAAACACTGCTAATCCTTTCTTCCAGGAGTTCAAGGTATTTGGTCGTCGATAGACAATGGGGTCTTATGAAAATCTATCAGTAGCTTCAACTATGATCTATCAGTAACTTCAGCAACTCTAGAGCCTCTTCCAGTAAATGAATTCCAAGAATACTGGAAGAGCCTCTTCCAGTAAATAAATTCCACGAATACTGGAAGAGCCTCTTCCAGTAAATGACTTCCACGAATACTGGAAGAGCCTCTTCCAGTAAATAAATTCCACGAATACTGGAAGAGCCTCTTCCAGTAAATGACTTCCACGAATACTGGAAGAGCCTCTTCCAGTAAATAAATTCCACGAATACTGGAAGAGCCTCTTCCAGTCAGTAACTTCCAGCAGCAAGAACCAAACACAGATGCAGAACGACAAGGGATCTGGAAATGTAAATATATTCCAGTTTTTTTTTAGAAAATCCGCTTTACCCACAGGTAGAAATATGCATCGTATTCTGGAACATGAGGCATAATCTTTTGGGGATTATTACATTTTCGTGACTGCTAAAAAATGTACCAGAGTCCCCCCCCCCCCCCTTAGAGAGCGCAGCGGCTTCCTAACATAGAAGATGTGTGGCGATGTCTGAAATATTTCCAGTCGTGAAATAGCACGCGCTACCTCATGAATAAGTAGCAAGTCCTTCTTGAAAAATATCGCATTGTCTGAAGTATTACCCTGCTCCTGAAAAGTAGCTAAGAAGTATTCTCACTCGCCTGGAATATTTTAGTCAGTCCCAAACGAAATTTCCATTCGCCTGGAAGATTTTCGCTGCCTCTGGAAGAGTTCCAGAGGCAGCGAAAGAGATAGATATTCCAGAGACAGCGAAGGAGATAGAGATAGATGTGGAATATCTCTTCCCAGAGATATTCCACAGTTCCTTGGATATTTTAACTGCCAATGGAATATTCTCAAGTCCCCTTGGAATATTCACGTATCTCTTGTGATAATCTCACAACCCTTGTAATATTCTTAAGAGACGGGAATATCGTAGTGTTCTTAGTTTACTTTCCTCCCAGGAGTATTCCTACTCTTGGAATATCTGACACTTCAAATTCCCATTCCTAGACAGGAGCTCGAAGCGGCTAATAACATCTTGCTTGTGAATTGCAAGTGGTTGGCTATTAGACTGGTGTGTGCTCAGATGACTACACTATGGTGCAGTGCGCCCTTTTGCTGCAGTGCGCCCTTGCTGACTGCAGGGCGCCCTTTTGCTGCAGTGCGCCCTTGCTGACTGCAGTGCGCCCTTGCTGACTGCAGTGCGCCCTTGCTGACTGCAGTGCGCCCCTTTGCTGCAGTGCGCCCCTTTGCTGCAGTGCGCCCTTGCTGACTGAAGTGCGCCCCTTTGCTGCAGTGCGCCCTTGCTAACTGCAGTGCGCCCTTGCTGACTGCAGTGCGCCCCTTTGCTGCAGTGCGCCCTTGCTGACTGCAGTGCGCCCTTGCTGACTGCAGTGCGCCTTTGCTGACTGCAGTGCGCCCTTGCTGACTGCAGTGCGCCTTTGCTGACTGCAGTGCGTCCCCTTGCTGCAGTGCGCCCTTGCTGACTGTAGTGCGCCCTTTTGCTGCAGTGTGCCTAGTTGACTGCAGTACGCTCCCTTGCTGCAGTGCGCTCCCTCGCTGCAGTGCACCATTCTGCAACGCGCCCAGTTGACTGCAGATATTGACACCAAAGGCTCACCTGAGGTCGGAGATCTTGTCTACTCCGTCAACACGTCTTATCTTTGCAGAGCGGAGGTTGAAGAGGCGTCAACCTCAGATACCAATACACTGTTCTCAGTTAATACAGATGTTAATCAATGTATCAGATCTATAGATGATCTATTGACTGCAGTACTCTCTACACTGGCGGCACTGATCTATTGACAGCAGCTTCAGGTATCACAGTAGTCATTTAAGATCAATAAAATCAGTAGCTAACACTGTATTCAATAAAGATATATGTCGTATACTTGACTGACTGCTGGGGTTCAGAGTCCGCTCCGTGATAGACAATTGTATTAATTTTATTGTTGTATTTGGTCGTACTGTGGAATATTGCATAGTCGTATTATGCTAGTTGTATTGTTTTATTAATTGTATTATGGTGCATTAATTGCATTAT